TGTATACATAATAAGTAAATAAATAAATATTTAAAAAAAAAACTATGGGGTAGGTGTGTCAGCCAACCTGCAATTCCTGCCTCAGATGTCAGAGACAGATCCCAAGACCAGCCATCTCAGCAAGCTCTGGGTTTGATTGAGAGAGCCTGCCTCAGTGCACAGGTGGGAGGGCAAAGGCGCTGGCTCACACCAGCCTTATGCGGTGCTCATGTACCCACACACATGCAAAAGCATGTCGTACACACATGCGAAGTGGGGGGAAATAAGTGTGACAATGACAGCCCCCATTTATAGATCTGAAGCCCCAGTTATAGTAACGGGCTGCAGAAGGAATGCGCTGGCCCAGACGAGTGTTGACATTAAAGAGCTTTTACTATTTCTCTCACAGACGGGAATGGATTCTCTCTCTCTCACGCACAGGTTGTTACAAAGTGGGTCAGTGCTTTATCTGCTCGGGTTCATGCTGTGTGATGCTGTCTGCAGTGTCACAACAGAGTGGGAGACCTTTGCCAAGTGTGACCACCCTGCGTTGAACTCCCCAGTCTCTAGTAACATGAGCTAAATATAAATTTCTTGTTAAGTTAAACAAACTCGGGCATTCTGTTATAGCAACAGAAAATACAGGGAGGCAAGTTCCTGGCTCCTTGTCCCCATGTTGCGAGCTCTCTCAGGTGGAAAGGCTAGGGTCCTAACCCTTGGTTTGAAAATGTTTTTACTCGCAGACACCAGCTGTGGGCATGGCCCCCTCTCCACTGTACCACCACATAATCCATGCCCACATAGGCCAGGCACTTCACTGGAGGGTGGGGCAAAGCTAGCCATATGTCCAGAGGGGTTTTTCAAGATGCAGTCAAAGCCTTCCCTGGGTTCAGCTCCCAGCACCCACGTGGAGGTTCACAACTGACTGTACCCCCAGTTCCCTCCTCTGGCCTCTGGCCTCGCTAGTACCAGGCACACATGCAGTACACATACATTCAGGCAAACACTCGTTCACATAAAATAAAAATAAGTAACTATTTGGTGGGTTGTTTAGTTTTCTAAAGGCAGGGTTTCTCTCTGTATCTCTGACTGTCATTCAGTAGACTAGGCTGCCATGAATTCAGAGGACTGGGATAAAAGGTGTGTGCCACCATGCCTGGTTAAGTTAAGTAAATCCTCTTTTTTTTTTTTTTGAAGGGCTCTAAAGGACTTGCTTGTTAATTTAAAATTAGTAGCAATAAAAAAGAGGGCAATGTTTCTGGAAAGATCTATAATTACAGTTAGACAACAAAAGGAGAAGGAAGTCCAGAATAGGAAATACATAGAGACAGAAAGCAGGTAGGTGATTGCCCTGTGCCTGAGAAGGGAGAATTGGGAACAGGGTAGTGGTTACAGCGTTTCCTGGTAATGAAGATGTTCTGAAATCTATTGCACGAATGAACATGCTAAAAGCCACTGAATCTTTTTCTTTTTTTGTTGCTGAGAATTGAACCCAGGGCCTCACACATGCTGAGCATACAATCTGCCGCTAGCCATGCCTCAGCCCCAGACTCTGTCCTATAGATGAGTAAATCATATGTGGATCACATCTCATCAAAGCTGCTTCTTTATATTTTTTTAAAAATTGGTAACAAATTTACATATGAGAGAAATAGATTTTTACAAGAATTTTCCGAAGGAAAATAAAGGCATAAGAAGACTGTTTCCTGTTGCGAGTGTCTGGTGCCTTGCTCCCTAGCAGCAGCTGGTGTCCAGGGCTGCAGCTGCTGCGTGCCGGCTGTCACAGCAGGTTGTTAGGCCTGGGATCTGTGCAGAAGGCGTGGGGTAACAGGTTACGTCACTGGAAGAGGCCCTTGAAGAGCCTCGGATTTCTCAAGGATCTCGGGCTCCTCCCAAGGGCTTTAAAGGCTCTGACTTCCAGTATAAATCTATACTTGCCCTTTGGAAGTCCATAGCCTTGGCCGTGGGCTTATTATTGCTTGTCCCGTTGCAGAATGTTCCCCAAACCTTATCCAAGCTCATGTCATGTGGGGCCCCACCTCCTTAAGATGTCACCTCTAGACACAGCCTTTCAAGTCAGGGAGCAGTTCGTGGCTTGGGGCTAGCCCAGCTACACCCTTCTAGCGGAGCTCCCCCAGCAGTGACTCAGTGCCTGCTGTTGGATAACACTCGCCCAGGCTTTCTGGTGAGCAGCCATCTGTGCACACAGTTCCTAGAGATGTGCTGGTTAGAGCCACCACTGCTGTGAGGAAGATAAGATCCCCGGGTACCTCGCTGGTGCAAGGCAAGCCAGCCCCTCCAGAGCTAGCACCTGCAGGGGCCACCTCTGGATTTGATTCTTCCAATACCTTCTCACAGTACTGGTGTCCTCGTGCCTACAGTCAGGGGAGCTGCTTTCCCCAGGGCTGTGGCCCAAACTGCAGTCACCTGAGACACCCCGAGGGGCTAGTTAGCTTCTCTCCCTCATGTCCAGTTTATGGACCATGACTCAAAAGTCCCCAATGCACCGTGCTAGAGGGAGAGACCTAGAGAAGAGACCCAGATACTAGGGTTTGCCCTGAAGTGGCACCAGCGTCCTTGGACACCATTGCAGCCGGAAATCAAGCAAGCAATAAAGAACAAAAAAGAAAGTTTGTGTCCGGCCCCAGGCTAATGTTTCCAGCTGTAGCCTTTAGACCTTTGGAAGCTCCACCCCAGCTGGAATTCTTTGGGAAGATATTACCCTGTGCCTCAGTTACCCAAACGCCCACTTCTGGTGGGGGCATCCTCTCCCATCAAAGAGCTAGCCACTGTCAGTCACAGGGCTCCTGAGCTGAGGGGTAGAGGAAACAGCCCAGAGTAGGCCCTTGAGAGGCGCAGTCTGCACCAAGGCAGGACTGCACAGTCTTTGGGTTAACCAGTGGTATGTCTTAGTCTTTCCAAGAATATGATGGCCTGGAATGTGGGGGGGCCTGCAGAGATAGGACCCAGTGTGACCACACAGAGGGCGGGAAGCCACTTTCGAACTCTTTGGCAATAGTTTTATTCGTTTGTCTGAGACCAAGAGCTTCTCTGCCTCCCTCAGCACTCCCTGCCAACCCCAGGACCTCAGCACACAGTTTGCTAACTTTTGTAACCTGTCCATTTCATAGGAAGAAAAAAAATACATCCCAAGTGTGTGTGGGGGGGGGATCTCTTGCTAAGTAAGCCAAGGGATCTACAGGGGCCTGAGAGCATTAGGTGTGAATCACCCCAGGGACAGATATACACGGGTGAGGGACAGACACTAGCATTACGTCATCAAAGGGGAGCAGGACAGAGGAAGAGAGAACCCTTCGCTGGGCAAAGCCTTTATTCCCAATATAGTTGGGAAACCGAGGCAAGAGGGTTGCAAGTTTGAGGCCAACCTGGGCTGCCCTAAAGGAGAGGAAGGGCAAGAAAAAGAAAAGAAAGATCCCCATACCCCTGTGTTTCTTCCCTTAGCTGTGAGCCTAGCCTCTAGTCCTGGGGATCACTACCATGCTCTCCCTTTTCCTCTGCTTCCTGTCCCCAAGAAGGGAGCCTTGACCCATAAGCAGAGGTGATCGCTAGGCTAAGGCCCTTGGACCACAGTCAGGGTAGAGGTGTGTCTTCCTCATTCCCGGGGAATAGTCCTAGAGTACTGCACAGCCCAGCACACCCTCTGACACAGGGCCAACAGGGAATTGGTAGCCAAGGTCCCCGCGTCCTGCCCTGACGGCTGTATTTTCTCAAGAGCTGCAGGGCTTTCCGCACGTTCTCAGATGGCTCTGTGGGTCAGAGGAGCTGCAGGTGTGGCAGGGAAGGGGTGAAGAGCAAACGGGGTTCAGGAGGGGTTTGGGGGAATCACAGGGGACACAGGTCTCTGCCAGAAGCGCAGCACATGTTGCTTAGCTCTGTTTCCTTCACCGATTTCTGATGCCAGGATCACTGTCTCCATTATACAGAGGGGGCACGGGCCTGGAGCTGTTAGGTAGATTACCTGAGGGGCTGCATCGCGCCTGAGGGGTTAAACAGGTAGAGGACAGGGGCCAAGGCAAGTGTTACAGTTGCCAGCCAGCTCGTCAGAAGGCCCTGCGCTCAGCCACACGGCACCTTGTGTCACTGGGTGCCAAGCAGACTGACGGTGAACATGGCACATAGCGCTCTGCTTGCCCCCAAGCCTGGTGCCTGCCCATTGGAAGGCAGAGCTCTCCAAACTGGCTCTTAACCCTGGGAGATAGAGAATACTCTAGGAAGTGCCCTACAGGAGACGGGGCTTGGTGCCCTGGCCCCTCCGGATCCATGGCGAATTCTTTGCTCTCAGGTGCAACCACCAAAACCCACAGCCCCCTTTCTGTCCTGTATCCATCGTCACTGGCCTGGCTCACCCTTAGCAGTGGATGAGCAGTGAGCAGGCCTTGCAAAACATAGTGGGGACTGAGGCCTGGGCCCACCCCCTCCCCAAACAGAAACGATGTAGGAAGCCAGCCTCTATTTCTTCATCTGCAGATCCAGATTTATTGATTGGCTGCGCCTTCCTTAAGGTGTTTCCAAGATTATAGACCTGAGAAAGATATCTGAAGAAGTTTAGACTACCCCACCAAATGACAAGAAGGCCCCTCTCCCAGAGCTTGGCCAGTTATCCCGCCTCCTACTCAAAGCCTAGCAACTTTAGTGCCTAATCCAACAACCCCAGGTGGACCATGTCTGCTTCATTATCCCTGAGCTGTGAGCTCAAACTTGGGAGAGTGTTGGACTGGCCTGTTCCTGGCATTGTATAAGAATCTCAGAAAGTCCAGCATCCCAGAACAGTAGAAACAGGATTCCTGGATCCTGCGACTCTTGGCCATGCGTCAGCCATCCTTGAGCCCCGGGGGAAGTTCTGTAGATGGAGTGCGGTACCCCATGTGGGAGGGGGAGTAGTGTCTTCCTCACCCTCCCTGAAGTTAATGGCTAAGACACTGCAGTAGAAGGTTCCCGAGAGGGAAATGTTCAAGGTAAGTTGGATGCTCCTGACCTCTGGGCGTTCTCTTCTCTTTCAGGACCTGGGCATGGAGTCAACCTCGCTGGATGATGTGCTGTATCGCTACGCCAGCTTCCGGAACCTGGTGGACCCCATCACACACGACCTCATCATCAGCCTGGCCCGCTACATCCACTGCCCCAAGCCGGTAGGCAGCTGTGGTCTGAAGCAGCCAGGTCCTGCAGTGTGAGCTGGACCGCTTTCTAGATGGCACAGACCTGACCATGGTTGCCCAGGGAGTTGGATCTCTGCTCAGGGGAAACTTCTGAGGTTTACCCCCATCTGTGGCTTCCTTTTGGACCTTCTCTCTGACTGCTGGAACTGTCTGGTGCCCAGATCTAGAGAGGAGGGGGGCTGGCTGTAGGGGACGCAAACTGGCAGAGTCGATCAAGACAGGCAGAGAAGCTATGAGTCCAGTATGAGACAGCAAGAAAAGCCAGTCGTGAGGGTTGGTGGCCTGGGAGAGGAGCTAGTTGGTGCCAAGAGCCACAGGGTACCAAGTAGCTGAAGCCGGAACCCTGGTGACCAGGAAAGTACTAGAAACGGGCCTCTGAGGAAGCCCTGCAGTTGACATATCTTTTCTAGGATAGGAAGTTAGTTGCCCAAAGATGAGAGGCGTGATGGGTAATAGAGCTCTTCAAATAATAGTTGAGAAATTATCGTCATGTCCATTGAGAGTTGAGGGAGACAGCGGCAGATAAAATGTGGTCCCCACGGGCCCGGTCTTAGAAAACAGCAGGGTTGCCAGGCGGTGGTGGCGCACGCCTTTAATCCCAGCACTCGGGAGGCAGAGGCAGGCGGATCTCTGTGAGTTCGAGACCAGCCTGGTCTACAAGAGCTAGTTCCAGGACAGGCTCCAAAGCCACAGAGAAACCCTGTCTCAAAAAAAAAAAAAAAAAAAAAAAAAAGAAAGAAAGAAAAGAAAAAGAAAACAGCAGGGTTGCTCTCTGAGCAGGATTTCTGAAGCAGCAGAATGGGCCAGCCCTGCTGGGGGTTCAAGGGCCAGTCTTGGATGCTCTGGGACTCCCCCAGGTGTGGGTGGGACAGAGAAGGAAAGGACATCCGATCTGGTAAGAAGGCAGCCCCACCCGAGCCGCCTGCACTGACGCAGGGTTGGCTGGGCTCCCTTCTCGTAGGTCTTTGTATCAAACTCTCCTAGATGCTCATGTTGTGGCCTGGATGTGTAGACAGAGGTATCACAAGACCACCAACTGTTACGGGAGTCTGTTCATATCATGGTGGACCAGAAAAAGGCTAGAACCAGGGACTAGGCCGTCATCTTCAAAAACCTCTAGAGACCTTCTACTAACTAGGGCCCATCTCCTAAAAGTTCCACAACCAAAATGTTCCCACCAGCTGGGAAACAGGCATTCAAAACAGGAGCCTGGGCGGCAGGTGGACATTGCTGGTTCAAACCACACCTGCAGTGATTTAGCGCCTCCCACTGGACGCCTCTCCTAAAGGTCTGTCTCCCAGTGGCACCAAGCTGAGGACCATGTCTTCAGTGTGTGGCCTTTTGTGGGTCTGTAAGATCCTAATGAGCCCACATTCGCTTTTCACCCACTAGAACAGCGACTTAAGCCTGTACTACTAGCTCTGGAGTGTAGACCAGAGGCGGATCTCTGTGAGTTCACAATCTGCCCAGTCTACATAGCAAGTTCCAGGTCAGGCAGAGCCACAGAGAGAGAGACCCTGTCTTTAAAAAAAAAAAAAAAAAAAATACTCAAAGGATTATCTATCCATCCTGTTCACAGTTTTGTCTTATAACGGGCAGGAAGCAGCATGCTCCATTGTGAATCTGTGCATGTGCGTGTGCGTGTTCGAGCGTGCAATCATGCATGAAGGGGTGAGATGTGAGCTTGTGTCCAGATGCATGCCTGCACCTGTGTGCATGGGCTCATAGAGACCGAGGGACCCTCAGGTGCTTGCTCTTCGCAGACACCTCTACCTTTTGTGGAAAACAAGGTCTCTCACTGGCCTAGAATTTCGCCAAGCGTGTTAGACTAGCTGCTTCCACTTCCCCGGTCACCTCTGCCGGAATGACGATCAGGTGCCTTGACCATTGTCCTCTGACCGCCGTGCGTGTGCCATGGCATTCACATGCACCCACACGCTCGTCCTCATACATACACACAGACATAAAAAAAAACTTAATTTAAAACAAGTAGGTAAAACAAAAGCCCAGAGCAAACATTTGTTGTTAAACAGTCTCTGCAGGGCAGACATCCAAGGCTCTAAGTGCCGGGCTTGACTGGCGCTTGTTAATGCACACCACGGGGCCTCGGTTTGTTACCTTGTGGGTGTTGCCCCAGGATTGGTGAGTGTCCCATATCACAGAGCTAGCCAGGATACCTGTCCTAGAATTCACATACCATCCCTCTGGCCCTTCTGTTCTCTTGATCCCCGAGACGGTTCTGATAAATCTTGGAAAGAGACTGCGTGGAGCTGGCTCCCGGGAGCCAAGGGCAGGGTGGTCTGGGAGGCTCTGCACATGCTGGATGAGATGACTTGGCCCTTTGTTCCTCCTGACCCTCGATTGTTCCCATTAACTGAGCCCAGCTAGAAACCAGGGACAGGAGAACCTGGTGATATACTTTTCAGGACAGTCCCTGTAAGCAGAGAAGGACAGAAAACAGACTGGGGTGAGGGTGGCCAAGGAAAATGAGCAGGCAGTCACCTAAACAGCGTCCAGTGTATAGTAAGGGAAGCAGGCCGGATCTGATTAATGAGTGAGTACATTTATGAATGAGGGAAGCCTTTGAGTGGCAGACAGGGTTGTTGGGGTCCTAGGTGCTGCTATAGAGGCGCCTGGGGAATGAAGGTGGCAGATGGCGCCTGTCCGTTGAGAGACCAGGGAAGGCTGGAGGTCGGCCTTGAGCCCCTGAGCCTCTTTCCAACAGATCCTGGGGAAGTCCCTCAAACATCCTCCCCCAGTGTTTCAGGACAGTGTCACTGGGCAGTTCTGGAGAGACTGCAGTGCTGGAGTCCTGCCAACTGTGCTGGGCTGCCTCTTCTTCCTTTGCCGTGGGTGGGAGGAAGAGCTGCTGGGAGTATTCCACAGTCCTTCTGCATGGCTAATCGCAACCAGCAGACACCCACGCAGTCCAGCGTCTTGTGGACCCAGAGGCAGCTCAGCATTATGGAGGCTTTGGGACTACTGAGCGAGTCTGTCCATCCCCCCCAGCTCCATTACAGTTTCTCTTCGCGGGGCTCATTCCCACCCTCCCACATGGTTAGGGAATATGACTACCCACAGGCCCTGTTCACTTGTCCAGGTTCCAGTCCCTACAAGACGGCTCATTTTCACTGTTCCCTGCTGTGCTGGGTTCTCTTTCAGCCACCACCACCACCACACACACACACACACACACACACACACACACACACGCACACACGCACACATATATGCACACACTGTCTTCTGGGCCAGCCCCACTCGATCCTATTCTCTGGAAGGCCTTTAAGGAGCCTGAAAGGGAAGGAGCTGGGCAGAGGATGAAAGCACCTTGAATGAATATGCAAAGGGCGGGTTCGTAAGGAAGGGAGTGCAGTGGGTAGCTTGGTAGGAGCTAGGGGGCAACATCTGGACTGTGTGTTTAACTGTGCACCTCTGTTCCTTAATGGGAGCGGTGGGACTGTGCCCCAGTGGAGGAAGGAGATGCTTAACGATTTCTAGATGCTAGGTAAACGTTGAGGGCAGGAAGCGTGGCCAGTGCTAGTGTAGGCCTGCCATCTGAGGCCAGAGTGGATCCCAAGCACCACAGAAACAAAACAACAAAAGACCCATGGTGTATCTAGTTCAGGCAAGCAGAGGGGAACTAATCCCTGTGCTTTTTACAGTTACTCTCAACTCTAATTGGCGAGCTCAGCTATTGTCCCTGTTTAGCCAATGAGAAGGCTGAGGTTGACTCCAACTCCCTCTGGCAGCAGCAGCCTCGCCCTGTGCTCGGCTGCCCTCTTGTGGCCGACACCGTACACTACCAGCTCTCTTTATGCCTTTGTTCTCTTAAGATTCTACTGCCTGAGCTCCTCAAGTTTGGACAACTGCGGGAGCGGGCGCGGCCTCGGGTATTCCAAAACCCAGGAAATTGATTGGAGGAGGAGCCAAAGCAGAGGAGCTCTGCTGTGGGCTTTGGGTGGGTTTCTTCTGGAAACTAGCAACAGTTATGTTCCAAAGCATCCTAAAATGAAGCTGGGCGTGCCCCCAATCCCATCCATTGGCTCTTCCGGTCCTTAAGGCCCCTGAGCCCTTGCTTCTCCACGGACTGCACAAGGGAATCGCTCTCCCTGCAGGACTAGGATCCAGGAAGAAGGAATGCTAGGCAGGGAGCAGTCGGGAACAAGCAAGGGAATGGGAGTGAAGACAGACAACACTGCGGTTTTCCCAGAGTGTGTATGTCGTCAGAGCAGAAGGGGGCTGTTCAAGCGACAAAGGGACCAGCAAGTGGGAGGAGGAGGGTCAGAGGAAAGCCTTAGGGGAGAACGTATGAATAAGCTGTAATAATGTGTGTATGAAAATGTCATAATGAAACCTATTATTTTGTACACTAACTAAAAATAAAGTTAATCCACCGCCGGGGGACCCACCCACTCACCACTAGCACCCGTTTTCTAAGATACCCCGGGAATCCAAGATGGGAAATGAACTCTCAATGTGGCATCTCTGTGTCATGTCCTAGCCTCATATCCAATTCTTTTGCCACCAAAGTCAGGTGTCACCATTACCAGTCAGCACTAGTACTCCTCACCCCGGGAGGCAGAGGCAGTCAGATCAGATCTCTGTGAGTTTGCGGCCAGCCTGGTTTACATAGTGATTTCCAGACTAGCCATGGCTACACAGTAAGACCCTGCCTCGAAAACAACAAAACATACACACGTACACAAAACACAAAACAAGTTTACATGTGAGCCCAGGCAGAAATGACCTTTGTTCTTTAGCACCGAAGCTCAGGTTACAATGCTGGTCTTTCCGTGGAGGATGAGCACCAGGACCCTGTAAATCAAATGCACGTGTCCCCTCATAAAGCAGCGTAGGACATGTGTCCACCCTCCTTCGCAATGAGCATGCCCAGATAAATACTATAGGAGTAACGGTTGTGCTACAATGTTTAGGGAGTAATGACAGAAAAATAAGTCTATTTCAGGACAGACATAGTTCTTTTCTGGGTGGGGTCTCTCCTGGCTGTCCTGGAATTCACTACATAGACCAGGCTGGCCTCAAATTCACAGAGATCCTCCTGCCTCTGCCGGGATTAAAGGTGTGCGCCACCATGCCCAGCTTCTGGGTACTCTTGATCTGTGGTTGGTTGAATGCCTGCATGTGCCCACAGCTGCAGACTGTGTTCAGTGAGCAAGCTTGACTTGCGTACAAAGCACCTGAATAGTACTGATTCGGTTACTCCTCCAAACCCATGTGAATGCAGTGTTGCTGCCCCTGCTTCACAGATGAGAGCTGAAGGGACAGAGAAGTCACGTTAACTCGCTTAAGGCCACAGACAAAACCAGGACATGGAACGGCACTATTTGGTCCCAAGTCTGTGTTCTAAAGGATTGCATAGGCTGCTTCTTCATTAGCAGAGTGGCGATGGTAATCATAACTGAAAAGCTGGTGCTGCTTGGTACGTTGAAGCTCACCACCTCCCTTTGGTGGTTTGCAATGGAGTCCCAGTACCCTCTGGGTCTTGGCCCTCGGCACTGGATCTTTCGGCAGGAGCACACTCTTGCCCGTTCCTGGGTTGGGACTCATACCTCTCCACCCAGCTTAGATCTGGTACAGGGCCTGTGTTGAATTGATTGTCCTTGAGATGGAGTTGGTGTCTCTCTATTAAGTCTTTCCACTGCAGTTAACCCAGTGACTTAAATGACAGAAATGAATGCCCTTTCTGCTGTAGAGGTCAGAAGGCCAAGACGTTGCCCCTCCTGGCCTTTTGTGAAGGATTTTTCCCTGCACTCACATGGATCTTTCCTCTGGACATGTGTGTGCCCTGGTCACTTCTAAATACACCAGATATGTGGGATTAAAGCCCATTCATATTGCCCCATTTTTACTTTAATTACCTTTAAATGTCCTGTCTTTGAATGCAGTCACATTCTGGGGAATTGAGTGTTAGGAAATCAACATAGAACCAGGCAGTGGGGATTGAACATGCCTTTAATCTCAGCACTTGGGAGGCAGAGCCAGGCAGATCTTAGTTTGAGGCCAGCCTGGACTACAGGGTGAGTTCCAGGTTAGCCAAGGCTACATAGAGAAACCCTATCTCAAAAAAAAAAAAGAGAGAAAGAAAAAATATAAAAGGGAACAATATATAATTGTTGAAGGGACACAGTTCAGTCCGTGGTACTCAGGGTCACAAACTCAAATGTTGATGAAAGAGGGCTGGAGAGATGACTCAGCAATTAAGAGCACTGGCTGCTCTTGAAGAGAACCCTGGTTCGATTCCCAGCACCCACATAGTAGCTAACAATCATCTATAATTCCAGTTCCAGGGACTCTGGTGACCCTTTCTGGCTTCTGCGGGTACTGCATGCATCTGGTCCACAGTCATACATACAAACAAAACAACCATACACAAAATAAAAATAGTTTTTAAGCCTGGCGGTGGTGGAACGCGCCTTTAATCCCAGCACCTAGGAGGCAGAGGCAGGAGGATCTCTGAATTCGACGTCAGGCTGATCTACAGAGTGAGTTCCAGGACAGGCTCCAAAGCTACACGGAGAAATCCTGTCCAAAAAAAAAAAAAAATTCTAAGTGCTAATAAAGCAGACAGTGTAGATGGGCAGATTCCACTGGAAGAGATTTGGCCCTCTGAGATTTCTCTTTTCCCACTTTGGGGAAAGACATAAGTAAAAATAAGTTATTTTATTTGAAGTACAAGAACCTTTGTTCATGACCATAGCCCTGCTTCTTAGTAGCATAGGTAAGATGTGTTGTGTGAGTGGACAGAATGGCTTTGGATACTACAAGTTGGCAGGGGCCTACAGTGTCTAGCTCAACAGGTGTGTGCCAGCCAGTCATGGTCAGACCACCTGCAGTCCAGACTTTTTATACAAATGTCATATTTTCACATTTTCCAGCCAGGGGGTGGTGGCACACACCTTTAATCCTAGCACTCAGGAGGCAGAGGCAGGAGGATCTCTGTGAATTCAAAGCCAGTGTTGTCTACGAGAACTAGTTCCAGGACAGGCTCCAAAGCTACAGAGAAACCCTGTCTCGAAAAGCAAAAAAGTAACATTTTCCAAAGATAGCAACTAATTCATAAGGCATAGACTCAGAGATTAACTCAATAGAGTAGTTGCTTAGCATGTTTGAGGCCCTGGGTTTGATTCCCAGCAAAACACACACACAGTTTGTACCTGCTGCTCCTGCCATAGGTGCTCATTGGGGCCAGCAGAGCAGGTCTTCCCAGAGGGCCAGGGACTCTAGAGTGGGGATCAGGGCCCTCCCAAGCCCTCCAGGGACACCTCCCAGACCTGTGCCTGTGATTGCCTCTGCAGGAAGGTGATGCGCTGGGTGCCATGGAGAAGCTGTGCCGGCAGCTGACCTACCACCTTAGCCCTCATTCACAGTGGAGGAGGCAACGAGGGCTGGTGAAGAGGAAGCCACAGGCCTGGTGAGTGGCAGTCCCTATAGTCTGCCCTGCCCCAGCCCTGCTGACTGATACCCTTCCTGGGGTACTGTGTTGAGGGCCCAGGTCAGGGGGAGGATGTCAGTAAACTCATCTTGAAGAAGGGTAAGATCGTGCTAGATTTAAAAACCAGAAAAGTAACTTGGTCATTCCAGGTACTTGAGAGATGCTGAAAAGGAGGTCCCTGGGGTAGGAGCTGGGGAGCACGGCCTGCAGATGGATAGGTGGGGATGGGACATGAGGAATTTCTAGTTCTAGTATTCTGGGATGGAAACTGGGCATGGTGGCGTACCTCTGCAATCCTATATTTTGAAGGCTGAGGCAAGACTATTGCTTCAAGTTGTGGCCATCAAAACCCACTTCCAGAAAATTCTCTGGGATGTCTTTCCAGGGAATCTAAAGTCTAGCCTTGTCTCATCCATGCAGCAGTGAAGACCCTCCAGGGTTTTATAGTCCTAAAGACCAAGAAGATAGAGGGCTCAAGACACAATACCCAGAACAGGTCTCATGGTAGGCAGCGAGTGAGCCCAGGCTGAGGCAGGCTTCCTGGAGGAGGAAGCACTCAGTTTTTTACAGGTAGCACAGGTGAGTGAATGGCTTGCCTGCTCAGACTGGCAAGGCCCTGGTTCTATGCCCAGATTATCCAGGTGGCTCCCAGTGGGCTGGAAAGGAGAAGACAGTTCCCTTCTCTCTTACTTTTTTTTTTGTTATTGATTTATTTGTTTATTTCATTTCATTTCCTGTGGCTTTAATAAAACACCCTGACAACAGCAGCTTCAAGGGGAAAGGGTTTATTTGGCTTACAGTTCCAGGTTGCAGTCCATCATTGTGGGAGAGTCAAGATGGCAGGAAATTAAAGCCACTAGTCATATCCATAGTCAAAAGCAGAGAGAAAAGGAATGCACGCACGCTTAACTCTCTCTCTCAGCTCTTTTTCCACTCAGAGAGCCCTGGACCCAAACCCAGGGAACAGTGTTACATGTTGGACTGAGTCCTCCTGTATCAATTAACACGACCATCCAGTCAATTCCCCCACAGACGTTCCCAGAGGTCATCCCAAGTGTTTCTAGACATGGACAATTAAAACTAAACGTCATGGGGCTGACTCAGTGCGTTAGAGCACTGGCTGCTCTTGCAGATGCTTCAGCTTCATGTTCCTGCCACCCACAGACTCACAACCATCTGTAACTCCAGGGGACCCAACACCATCCTGGCCTCCTCAGGCAACACACATTCACATAGTACACAAAAGCCCATACACATTAAATAATATTTTTAAAAATTAAATGCATGTGTGTATGTCTGTGTGGTGATGTATATGCATGTGAGTGCAGGCGCCCTCAGAGTCTAGAGGCATCAGATTCCCTTGGAGCTGGAGTTACAGGCAGTTGTGGCTGCCTCACAGGGTACTGGGAACCAAACTCAGATCCTCTGCAAGAGCAGTGAGTGTTCTTAACTGCTACGCCAGACACCTCTCCAATTCTCCTTACCCCTAGACCTTTTTTGATTGGGTTGGGGGGGGGGGGGCTGTTGGTATTTTGTTGTTGTTGATCTGGGGGTTTTGTTTGTTTGTTTTCAGACAAGGTCTTACTACATAGCTCTGGCTAACCTTGAGCTCAGTATGTAGACCAGGCTGGCCTTGAACTCACAGAGACCCATCTGCTCCCCAAGTGCCACAATTCAAAGCATGCACCACTATGCCCGGGTTTGTTTGTTTCTTTGAGACAAGATCTTTGATATATAGCCTTGGCTGATCTAGAACTCACTATATAAACCAGACAGGCCACAAATTCATAAGAGATCTGCCTATCTCGTCCTCCCCAATACTGGGATTAAAGGCATGTGCCACCATGCCTGCTTTCTGAGAATCTCACTGTGTAACCCAGGCTAACTTTAAACTCACAATGCCCCCTGCCTCTGCTTCTTTCCAAGTGCTGGAATAGCAGGTATGTGCCAACCATGGTCACCTAGGTCTTCCGTCTGCCAGTGCCCACACACAGAGGCTCAGTCCATTCTCCATTCGGGAACCGTGTGAATGAAACCTGCTCATTCCTCTCAGGGGGCTTCTCATCACACTTGAATGAAATGGAAACAGGACTGTGTGATCAGCCAGTGCCTCCTCTCTGTCCTCACTCTGTGTTCCTTCACTTGAAGTACAATGACCCTCCTGCTGGTGTTCACACACACACACATGTACACACACTTGACAGCTACAGACTTCCCACTTGACACTGCTTGGGTTGGAATTCTTAGCTAGCTCTTCTAATGGCCCATGCTATCTATTCCTCCTCCGATTACACAGCCCCAGCCCCAAAGCTACGTTGTCATCTGCACCTGTTCCCTGTCTCCCCGTGGTAGGAGGAAAATGGGGCTCCTATCCCCATTGTTCACCATTGTGATGCTGATGCCTAGGACGCTGCCTGGCACATAGTAGGGCCATAACAAATATTAGAGTGAGTAGGGTAGGAAACTGTTGCCATTTGATTGGCCAAGAGCCTAAAGTTGATAAGCAGTGGGAATAGATTCAAATCCATATCTACCTGACTCCAGGGTGTAGACAGTCAACCATCTTGAGGATGCTGGGTTGATTGGCTTCGTTACTGACACTGACATGGAACCCAACACTAATGTCACAACCAACAAATTCCAGGCAGGATGCTAGGCAGTTAAATCTCATGCTCTGGAGGGTTTTACCTCCAAATGCAAGCAACAAAATGAGTTAATATCCCAGCTTCAAGAGGGCCCCAGGGTAGCTGCTTTGGTGAGGCTGTGACCCTTGAGCTACCAGCAAAGGCGTAACTTTGGCGGCAAGTTGAGCCATTCCCAGGGTAGGAGGATCAGGGTTTGCCTCGGGTATTTGGAAACTCAGAGAATAGTTATCTCACCAAGGGGAACGGGGTTTGGAGGCACACTTACCACCAAGCCAAGTGGTCTGGACTCCAGAACATATGAGCAGCAGATAGCAAGGGAGGGGATGGAGGCATGGAGCCTCCAGGGGCCTTTTGCTCTCACCTCTGAGAGCTTACCTCAGCTCTTGGAGGCAGGTCAGCTGCCACACAACTGTGAAAACTCAAGTGACTAACACTGACAGCATTTACTCATCTGCCTTGTAACACTTAGTATTTAGTGTTCCTCATAACCCTATGATAATGGCAGGGTTTTTTTTTGTTTTGTTTTGTTTTTTTTTTTTTTTTTTTTGGCAAGCAACTGAAGCACAGACCTTTAGTAACTTGCTAGAGAGCACAGGATAGGAAACTGCAGGCACCACACAGAAACATAGGCTTGGAGAGCGGCTGGAATGAGTTTCAAATCTGATGCTCTGCCCACTCTGCTGAGCCTGAAGCAGGTGCTGGGGACTCCCTAGTTTCCCCATCCTGAGAAGGGACAGAAGAAATGAAACCCCAGGTCAGAATTAAGCAGAGGCCAGTTCTGTGGTAATACACACTCCTGCCTCCAATAAAGGCCTGCCCTGTTTTGCTTAGCCTGTTCCTTCTTTCCTTCAGTCTTAAGGCCCTCCTAGCTGGGAATCCTCCAGACAACATGGTGGACCTGTCAGGCATCCCACTGACCTCACGCGACCTGGAGCGGGTGACCAGCTATCTTCAGCGCTGCGGAGAGCAAGTGGACAGTGTGGAGCTGGGCTTCACAGGCCTCACAGACGACATGGTCCTGCAGCTACTGCCGGCGCTCAGTACCCTGCCTCGTCTCACCACGCTAGCCCTCAATGGCAACCGGCTGACCAGGGCTCTGCTGAGGGACCTCACCGACACCCTGAAGGACCCCAGCAAGTTCCCCAATGTCACATGGATTGACCTGGGCAACAATGTGGACATCTTCTCTTTACCCCAGCCCTTCCTGCTCAGCCTGCGCAAGCGCTCTCCCAAACAAGGCCACCTACCTACTATCCTGGAGCTGGGTGAGGGGCCAGGTACTGGGGAAGAGACCAAGGAAGGCACAAGTGAGCAGGACTCTGGAGGAAGCCCTATGACACCTCCCAGAGACCATGATAGCAGGGAGATTGTGACTCAGACATGATTTGGAAGCAGGGAGAACTTGTCAGGATGGCTAAGGCAAATTAGGGGTTTCTACCCATCAGGATGCCTGAACCCCACCCACCACCCAAACACCAGGATGAGATCAGAATACTTTTTGTCCCTAACTACCAATACCATGCCCCTGAGAAGTCATCCCTTGCTCTAGGGATGTTCTCCAGAATTGTGCAGCTGGATCAAGCAGTGTCCCACCAGTACTGTTGAACCCCCTTAGATTTAATTTAGGGTAACTAAGACCCTTGGAGAATCTCTCCAATTCCAGGGGCCTCTTGGAAAGGGTGTGTGGTTAAGAGCATTAACCAGTCCAAGCTGCAATCTTCCCTTTGCTTGACTGGGGATCTTACTGTGAAAGGCAGTACCATGCCTAGTGCCCTTACCCAACCAGCACAACTTTTTCCTTTCTACCAGCCAAGTTCCAGACCTCATTCCCAGGACTTAATCCCTGGAATGGCTTTTCAAGCACTTAATCCTTATCAAAAGGCTCTGGGACTAGTTCAGCCCTAGCCTTTTTCCCCCATGTTCCTTATTTCCCACAGCAAACAGCTCCTATACTCACAGGCAGTTATGAATTTGGGGAAATCAAACCCTTACAGGCCAGGTAAGCAAACAGGCTTAAAGGATCTGGGTGAGTTAGGGGCCTTGCATGGTACTGCATAAATCGTCAAGGGACCAGAATTGGAAGTGTGGGTGCCTTAAATGCTTTGAAACCTTTGCCCAAGTCCTAGGTTGTGAAAGCAGCTTAGACTGACCAGAAGTTTACAGTGCTAAAGCTAGGCTGCTTAACACCTGACATATTTCAGTCTTCAAATACAAGTTTTTAAGGACCAGCACCAGAGGCCCTGCTTTACTGTAGCACTCGCTGACTCAGGTAATGCACACACACATTGACTTGTGAATTCAACCAATACAGTGGCAATCATTTTGGAAACAAATTTATTAAGTAGTGTAAATGTCCTGTGGGGCAGGATATCAGAGGTGCCTGACCAGGACAAGGTGGGCAGACACACTAGGGAGTTTTTTCATGAGGTGGCCTTCAGTCAGAATCTTGTGAGTTGATGGGCACTCCTCTGGAGATAGCCTGCAAAGAGACTGAAGTTCAGAATCACATTTGCTCCAACCAGTGGCCTGCAGAACACCTAAAGATATCTTCAGAGAACCATAGGCTCACCACTACCAATCTGCCGGTAATTCCAGCTATTTTAGGTGATCTCATCATTTGATATCCTTTCAGAGTAAGGAGAGCTCAGCTAGCAGCTGGAGGTGATCACTGCACAGAGCAAACTTACCTCCTCCTTCTCCACTGCTGCCAACATTGCATTCTAGCACTCGGTCCTCCAAACTTGAGGAAGGGACACTCCTAAAATGGACTGCAGAAACAGGATGGATTAATGATAGCCCCACTGAAGCCCAGCTCTAAGCACAACCTACCAAGAGTACCAAAAGCCTTACAGAGGGTCTATTTTAAGTTATTAAAATATAATCTTAACTACCAGTGAGACGGCTTCTGATAAACCAGCCCACCAAGGTTCAACCCATGGAACCCAGATGACAGGATCAGTGGAAACTTAAGGGCTGGGAAAATGCAACTGGACCAGGCTTGATTCCCAGCACTCACAACCACCTCTAGGGCCCTTTTCTAGCCTCCGTGAACAGATAAAGATGGCCAGATGCACACCCCACCCTGCTTTAGCCCAACTACAACCAGCACTGAGTACAAGCATTCCAAACCAAGCTAACAAGGTCTGGCCCAACTAAAATCAAGGAAAGCTTACCTCATGGGAGGCCAGGGCTGCGAGAAGTCCTCCACTCGAAATTCCCTACCTAGAAAAATAAAGCGGTTGTTACAGTAGAGGCTGAGCTAATCCTAACGGCCAGGCACTGGTGAGCGCTTGACTGCAGTCAGCCAGGAACAGTTATCGTCAGTTATCGCCTCTGACGGCACTTCCTATAGCAATCTCATCACAGCAATCAAGCGTTCAGGTGTCTCACTCCAACCCGTGTCTCCAGCCATCAACTGGAGACCCCGTGGGTGCGCACGAATGTTACCGACGGCAGCACACGGTGCATTCCCTGGCGCTCAGACTCCGAGTTAAGGGGGTATGGGCCACCCCACCTGGGCACAGTATGATATAGTAGTAGGCCTCTTAGCAACTGAGCCATCTAGGGCCAGAAGCCATTTAAGAATGGCTGGAGGCCACAGGTAGCGAAATTACAATCTTGGCCACACCGTGACCAATGGCCCCGGAAATTCTTACCTCAGGGTGGGATCCTGGGCCTCCTGCTCGACATTCTGTCCATCCCCGGTCTGAAAGGTTAGAACGGGAGTTCAGAGCCAATTCCAACACTCGGGCTCAGCAGTCAGTCGCCGAGGGCTGACGACTGCGGTCAGCTAAGGGAGCTCGTCAGTTCTCGCCTCGGACGGCACTTCCTAATCCTCATTATCATCAGAGCAGTCGCCACCCAGTCCACGCGCGGTGCCCCGGGACGCAGACCCCGACCTACCCGGCTCCCTCAGGTGTGCGCGGCGCCCACGGAGGGGCTGGAAGGCCAGGCCGCCGGCTCAGCATCGCACCGGCTCCGCTCTGCTAGGCCCAGGCGCCAGACCCAGCTGCAAGATGCAAATACAAACGTCGTGGCGTCAGCAGAAAGAGAGACCGTAGCCGGTGTGCGCCCCCGTCTTAAGGGTTCGGAATAGACCACTTCTCACCCGAGGGAGGGTGATGGTGGCAAAGGCTCACGGGAAGTCTCCGTGCACTAGGCCCGCCTGGCGACCCACGGACTCCCCCCTTCTGTTGAGTGAGTGGTCTCTGCCACCCCGGGGATTCTGGGTAGTGACGAGCGCAGCGAGATCCAGCGCGCCTGCGCAAAGGCTTAAGCGCGGGTTTCTGAGTGTGTCTGCAGTGCTCTGCGAATTCTCAATGCTTTGAAAACGCCTGTGGAGTTAGATCTGACAGCGCAGGCCTGAAATCACAACTGTTTAGGAGTCTGAGGCAGGAATTTGAGTCCAGCCTAGGTGATTTAGTGATCCCTGACTTAAAACAAAAGAAAAAGGAGGAAGGAAAAGGGAACCAAAATAATCTAATTGGGTAGTGGAGAGCCTGCGGACCTGGGATTGGAGGGTTAAGACATTGTTCTGGGGCCTGCCTGAGATATCATACCCAAAACTGCATTCAGAGACAATAAAAAACGGTAGCTGCCGCTAAGGATTCGGGCCGTTCTGCGCCTCATTTCTGTTAAAGCATATTCACAGAACCTCTCAAGACCCTATGCAGACAGCCCTCATCACATTTCTTAGGGAATTATAGTCAAGAGGAAGTCTTGTTGGGTCTATTTTCGTTGTCCCCTGCCCTTTCTGCTTCAGACTCTGAGACTTTTGCATCGGGTTTATCTCCCGGGCAATAGAAAACCTCTGATGCTATCCCATCAGTATGCGAGCACATTCGGGTGTCTCGTAAGGGTTGGGGACATAGCAAACATGAAGTTCTTAGTTCCTAGTTCCATCCCCAGCACCTCATAAACTGGGTATTGTGGCAAACTCCCAAGTTCTGGGGATGTAGAGGCAGCAGAATCAGAAGTTCAAGGTCTTTTTCTGCTATATTGAGAGTTTGAGGGCAGCCTGAGTTACATGAGCCTATAATCCTAGCGTGCAGGAGGCTAGAGTAAGGTTCTTGTAAATTCAAGAACAACCTGGCCTACAGAGTGAAAACCTGTCTTCCAAACACCTCAGTGCAGTCTGATAGGACTATTATTTACGAGATGTATCGTATATGAGATGTTCCAACCAGCAACACACACACCTGTGATTGCATACACTTCATATGGATTTATTTACTTTTTGTTTTTTTCCAAGACAGTGTTTCTCTGTGTAGCCCTGGCTGTCCTGGGACTCGATTTGTAGACCAGATTGGCCTCAAACTCACTGAGATTTGCCTGCCTCTGCCTCCCAGCCTCCTAAGGGCTGGGATTAAAGGTGTGGGGCTCCACGACCAGGAACACAGATTCAGGTTTCCCCAAATACCATGTCCCATTTTGGAAGTGGGTTCATGCGTGTTTTTAGTAACGGAACAAGGAGAGTCATTTGGAAGGGACCACAGTTGGCCGGTTACAGCAAGAAGGGCGCTGTCTGCTGTGGGTTTCAAGTGCTATCCAGTGACCTTCTTAGCTTCTGGGTTTGTGGAAATTAGTGGTCTGCTAAGAATAGTTGGTGTAAGGTTTTGATAGTCACAAGACTGTTAAATCAGACATGGGGGGAGAGGGGTCAAAGAAACCAAGAATAGCACAAGATCGTTTAACTCTGGTTTGAAAGACAATTTCAGACAAGTCATTGGGCCTTGAATCTTTAACATAGGGGCTGCTCTCCCCTTGCTCTCTTCCTTCTGGGAGTTTCAGGTCATAGAAACACCTACAAATGCCAAGTCAGAGTCAAACGTGAGGCCCTTCAAGCTTCGTGAATGATGAAGAGAAAGTACTAAGGACTTTTCATCAAATTCCCCTAGAAGCATAAGTTGTAGGGGAGAGGGGGGAGTCTGGGAATCACGGCAAAAACATGCAAGGCTGGGGATATTTCTCTCGGGCTTTCAGAGTTCAGAGGTGACTTGCCTGTTTTCTGTCTCAAGAAGGCCTCTCTGGCTTTCCTGCAAAGAGTCATTGGGGGAGGGGGAAGCTGAAGCCCAGGTGTGTGAAAGAGTGACAATCTAGCGCTTAGCAGAGACTTAGTCGTCCTCGAGGTGGGAAAGTGATGGAGGAAGGTCATTGGCTAATAAAGGCACTGCCCTGGCCCATTTTATTGGTTAGAGGATAGGTGGGAGGAGTAAACAGAACAAAATGCTGGGAGGAAGAGGAAGTGAGCTCAGAGACTCCACAGCTCTCTCGGGAGCAGACGCCTCAGAGAAAGACGCCATGCCCCGCTCCCAGGATGAAGCTCCGACCCAGGATGGACTAGGCTGGAATCTCCCCGGTAAGCGCACCTTGGGGTGCTACATACAGATGATTAGAGGTGGGCTAAATTAATATGTGAGAATTAGCCTAGAAGAGAATGGGCCAGGCAGTGTTTGGAGGAATACCGTGTCCGTGTAATTATTTCGGGGCATAAGCTAGCCGAGCAGGCGGCCGGGGTGCTGGGGACGCAGCCCCGCCGCCCTTATTACTTCATATGGCGCCCACGTGGACAACTGCTTCCACATAAAGCCTGAGACAGCTTGGGAAGTAATTCTAGAATAAAGAGAAAGCATTGTGCCTGGTTTCTTGGTAGCAGCAATTTCTCGGTTCTACTCTGCTTGCTAGAGGCAAGCAAGCGCCTCATCTAAGAGAGGCTTCCTGACTCAGCTTTAGCTGCAAAGCCTGCAGCTCATTAAGAGGTCCTGCCACGAAACACTTAAATGGTGTTGACGAAAAGCTGAACGCATGCTTTTCGGTTTTCAGCCATAGCAGGAAAAAAGCTGCGCCGTTTAAAAATGCTGGCTTTCTGGGCCATCCTGCCAGGGCAAACTCTGACTGTTTGAGGCAGGAGGGCCGGCTACCAAGAGAGGACGTGAGTGTTGTCTGTTGTAGCTCACTTGCTGGCAGGGACCTTGAAATGCCATACAGTTGTTGCAGTAAACATGGCTACAGCCTGTATATCCGCCATGAGGCTGGAAAGCTAAGGAATGGACTGGATCTAGCTGGCAAAGCCACGCCTTTAATCCTACCCATATTGCTCAGTAATTTAAAGGCTCGTGTGGTCAGAAAAAGAGAGATATACAGTAAAGAGAGATTCAAAGACAAAGAAAATTTCTGAATGGTTTAAAGTGTGTTAAAAATATATGCAGACTAAAAGTTGAAGTTCTTAAAGTAAAAAACAAAAAAAGGAAGAGAGTTGTTGTGTGTGATACCATACGCCTTTAATCCCAGTGCCTAGAAGGCAGAGACTAACAGATCTCTGTGAGTTCAAGGTGTAGTAGCAAACACCTTTAATCCTGAATGCCTGGGAGGCAGAGACAGGTGGATCTCTGAGAGTTCAAAGACAGCCTGGTCTACAGAGTTACTTCAGGTCAAAGATACAGAGAACCTGTCTCAAAAAGCAAAGAGTTAAAAGTAAAAATAAACAAAATAGAGGTTAAAACAAAGCTGCACAAAGATGGAAAATACACAGAGAATCTTGATACTGTATGCTATTATGCTCTCTTTAAATTATTTAAACGCTGAGGAAGGAGCAACAGATGCTAAAAGATATTTATTTATAAATACTGCTGAACTAATCCAACATAGATATTATGAATTTGGATCTAAGGATATGATACTTTGGAAAGGAGTTTCTTATTTTGTTTTCACAGAGGATGAGACGCTGTTCATTTCTTCTATTCCGATTTGGTATGATGGACCATGCCCTCCTGAAGGGTTGGTGTGAACGCCTTCAAAAAATTGCTTCACTAAACTGCCAACTGAGATGAAACTAGCACACAGTTTATACCATAAAAGACCTAATTAACGACGCCCCCATTCAGCAGGAAGCAGTTTGGAGAGAAAAAACTGCGCCCATGTTCCCAAATATGGTTTATAAACGTTCTTTTACATTTTAAGGGGGATATGATATAGGTATGAATAATTTGCATTAGTATAGATTTTGCTTTATTGATAGAGATTTAAGGTCAATTTTGTTATATGTATATGTATTTCTGATATTGATTAAGGTGTTGTGATTGTGTAGTTCATTTAAAAATGTAATATATATAGGTTGTTAATGGATAATCATCGATAATAGTAAAGCTTGTAGTCATGTTAGTTAGATTTTCTAGATATATAGAGATATATTTTAGATAGACATTCTTCATGTCTTTCAAAGATTACAGAATAGGACATTTACTGTTTTAATAACTTAGGAATTTTCATGACAATGAGACACTCTGCTCCTGGCAGCACCAATCTACTTCAAGAGGAAGATGGGCATCGAAGAGGCACCTTATGGAGTTTGATAGCCATTTGGGCAAGAAACTGCTCTTGCCTGGACTATTGCATAAACTGGACACAGAGAACCCGCAGAGAAAGGACTACTGAACTTGCCTAAGGTGAGATGATCTTTCAGGGTTCCTGATTCATGAAAGAGTCTGCGAGATATTCTGCAGGACACAACAGATAGTGACTGAATTGACTTTGAATTTTCCTGCTTTATGGAAATGTCTGCTGGATACCATGGGCCTAAAGGCTGAAGATGGATGCCCCAACGGTACAGAGGAACTTTGGGTGACTGTCCAGGCAGCGAGATGTCTCTGTCATTTCTAGAGTTTTAAAAGTTGCTTTTTTCTTGTTTGCTTAGGTAGTATTGTATCTTTCTGGAGTCTTTGATGGAGTTAAGAATAGTTAGTTATAGTTATAGTTTTCCTTAGTTATGATAAAGATTATTGTAACTTTTACTTGATAACTGTTTTGTTATATGTAATTTTGCTATGTTAAAGTTAAAGCTTTTTTTTTTTTTTGTTTAAACCGAAAAAGGGGAAATGATGGAGGAAGGTCATTGGCTAATAAAGGCACTGCCCTGGCCCATTTTATTGGTTAGAGGATAGGTGGGAGGAGTAAACAGAACAAAATGCTGGGAGGAAGAGGAAGTGAGCTCAGAGACTCCACAGCTCTCTCGGGAGCAGACGCCTCAGAGAAAGACGCCATGCCCCGCTCCCAGGATGAAGCTCCGACCCAGGATGGACTAG